TATCATTTTAATCCTATTTTTTGTATTATATATTAAATTTATTTTTTCCCAATTCAAGACAGGTTTTATTTTACTCAATGGATGAGAAATACAAATCTTATAAATCTTAGTGATACTTAGAAAGAAAAAAAACATATAGCATCAGCAAATTTTAAACTGGTTTAATATTTAAGCTTTTAAAATATTTTTATTAGATATAATGGTCCAATTAATAAAATATACTATAAACTTATAAAAAGTGTAATGAACTAAAAAAAAAATCAAATGAATTTCTAAACCAAATTACGAGTATAAATACGTTATAAAATTAACTGAAGTGAACCTAAACCATTTTAAAAATTTTAAACTAAGGGAATGGAAATGAAGTGTTGTACCAATCGATTCGATACCCTAACAAAAATAGAAAGATGATTAGAATCACTATAGGAAAGGAAAGGCATAGCAATTAATAAATTTTTATTTTATTAATTTATAAAATGTGTTTAATTTATATTATTCAATTTAACAATATGAACCAAGATAGAGTCAAAAATAAATTAAAAAATCGGGTTGACCTATAAAAAAATATTAAATTTTGGAATTTTGTAACATATATAAATGAGTAAAATAGAGGAAGTAGATTTTTTGCGTTTTGCTATGAGATTTTTTTATATCACAAAAACCTGCAGATCCAGTCGGAAAAAGATCATTTTAAAAAATCAGTCAGGCTTAAAATTTTTCTTTGATTGGGGCAAAAATTTTTTTTTTTACAAAACCAAGGTATATCAGGAATCTTATAAGAAGAAACATTAAATAGCATTCAAACCTATAACTACAAATTATATAAATATTTTATTTTTATACCTTATGTATACATGCTATCTTAAGACATTCAAAAATGTTTGAAAGAAAAATATAAATATATTAAGGTTCTGGACCAAACACAGATTAGAGTTAAAATCTCTTTTTTTTCCTCACCCATAAAAAATTAGGTTTATGAACACAGATCTGATATTTTTTTCATGAATTTTAGTCTAAACTAGGTTTATTAATTTTTGTCATTTTATGACAAATTTAGGTTTACATCCAAACGAATAATATATAAACTACTAGATTGTTGATTCATTTATTAAATCATCTTAAAAGTGTCCATACACAGGAATCAGCTGAACAACATTTTGTAATTATCAAATCAATTAAATGACAAATGTGCATTCATATAGTCGAAGTGAAAACACAAAATGGTGCTACCGCTTATTCCTATGTATGTACACTTTTAATTAATGAATCGCCAATCTAGTAGTTATGTCGTAATTGAGATATGGAATTTCATTGGGATATAGTAACTTTCAAATTTTAATCTTATACAGAGAGTATTTTTTAATTTGAAAAATTTGATTTCAATGCATTCCAACAAATACTGAGTTGCCATCATTGTGAATTTCAGATAATTTTTCATTGAACTGCTAAAATATTTTTAATTTATTTTTATATCATATAAAATGAAATCGATTATTTCGGCCCGAACTTATTAATTTTAATAAAATTATGCATACTGAGGGAACATTATTAGAAAACATCGAATCCAAAATCTTACCCTCCAGAAGTTTCTGAGATATCAATGGTCAAAAGTGCCAAAAATGACCTATTTTCGAAAAATATGATTTTTAAAATTTAATTTAAAAAATAATGATGCTATAAATAAAAATTCTATGCCATTTTATGATAGGTTTTTTATTTATTGCGATTTAAAAAATAATAAAATGAATATTTTTTTAAATATATTAATTAAAGCATTTTTATTAAAATTATTTTTTATTTTTTTCATTTTTAAACATATATAATAAGATTTTCCAGCATTAATATCACGAAAAAAATATTGGCCCGTTAATAGGCTTACTTATTGTTATTACTATTGATAACTTGTCAAAATGAATTAATTTTATTATAAATGATCAAATTTCTTAAAAAGATACTTAAGATTCCGATATCTCTTGCATAAATATATAATTAATTGTTAAAAGATAAAAGCCAGTTTTCATGCACCTGTCCTGCTATTAATTAATTTTTATTTTACAAATATTGAAATATTAATTATATTTTTTTCATAAATATATAAATATAAATGATCAAATCCTTTTAAAGAATCTAAGCACTTTAATTATAAAATGAATCTGCCAAAAGATATGACAGATAACTTAATTTCCAAATATTAAGGCGGAAAATATTTCTGATTAATGCCGTACGCATTAATCACAAGAAAATCTAGAAAGTATAAATATAGATTCTGTCAGAAAATTTGAAATATATAATATCACTGCATCATCCAAATATGGAAACAATCAATATTACTTTAAACAAAATTAGAATAAATCCTATTAAGAAAAAAAAACACTTGAAAAAAATTATTCAAATAAGAGAGCGAAAATATCAAAAGTTATTTCAGATATATTAATTATTAATCCACAATAGGTTAGTAGCTATTGCAAGCTCACAAAGACTTTATTCAGATCAAATAATACCTGTACAGTTTTATAAATATGCGGAAGAGCGTATAAAAGCTATAAGTATGCCACCATATCAGATTATAGACAGAAGGAATAAGGTTAATTTAGTAATATCTCAATTAGAGATCTGCAAAGTTAGGCTAGGCCTGTACCCGGCCCGAGGCTCGGGCCTAATTCTATTTAAAAAAGTCGGGTTAGGGCCGGTCCTAATATTTTAAAAAAAGTCGGGTTCGGGCCGGTCCTAATATTTTAAAAAAAGTCGGGTTCGGGCCGGTCCTAATATTTTAAAAAAATTTCAGGCCGGGTCGGACCTTGGAAATTTTATTAAATATATCTAAATTTATCAATTTTATATTGAATTTTTTATAAAAATTAATTTCTATATTTAAATAAATTCGGGCCTGGCCGAGTCGGGCCGGTAAATTTTTTAAAAATAAATTTCGGGTTCGTGCCGGCAAAACTATTTTAAAAAAATTTCAGGCCGGGCCTGAAAATCACTAATCTCAATACCTGGGAACGGTTTAACTAAGCTTAATACTAAAATATATTCTAATTCGCAGACGTCTATAGTGGAGAATATAGTTAATATATGTGAAGATCTTTTGATTAAGGATCTGTTAATTGATCGATGATATTTGAGGATGTGTGACCTGTATGTAAGAAAACGATTGGTGATTAGGATTTGTGCAAAAAGTAGATGCAAATAGTATAGTTGGGTAATGGCTAAATGTTAGCTAATCCGGCTCAATATTCAGGCATCAGCTGGAGATAATCCGATAACATTAAGGCGTTTTAATTTACATTTGACTCTTCCAAATTTAAGCTGCAATCCTTTAAAAAAAACCCAGAGACCAAAGTGATAGTTTTCGGCTAAAAATTTAGTTTAAACGATTTTTTAGCGGCTAAAAATTGGCGACGGCGAAAAATATAGTAATTACCCAACTATAACAAATAGATGAAATGAAAATAAATTTTCTCCATTCTAAAGGACGATATTTTTGTTTATTCAGCCACATTAGATCTCCTTTTCATATCAAAAAATAATATTTAAACAGTGAGTCCATCAATGATGATTGGACGTATTTATAATTTATTTCAAAACGAAATTATCAAGGAGTAAAAAAACTTAATTTAATGAATAGGTAATATTTTTCATGAATTATAATGTACCTATTATATTATATTTGCAAAGTTAATAAAATAATTTTTCACAAGAAAAAGATAATTATAACTGCAGCTAAGTAATCTTATTCCATGATATTAATGCTGGAAAATATTATAATGTTTAAATGGAACAAATTCAAAAAAATAATAATGCGTTATTTCATGGCTGCCCCCCCCCCAAGTCTAATTTTTTTACAAATAGATATAAGTGAATAATAAAATATTAAATTCAAAGAATTCTAAACGAGAAACACTTGGAACTTTCAGGTTCAAAATTTATAAGGTAAATAAAAACCGCAACATTATAAGATATATAATTTTTATTTTTAGGATCATTATTTTTAATCTTTCTCAATTTTTAAAAATTGTATTTTTATAAAAAAAAATCATTTTTGGCACTTTGGCCATTGATATCTGAGGAATTATTAGTAAGCTAAAATCTTGGATTCGATTCTTTCTAATGATGTTCTCTCGTATGTAAAATATTATTAAAATTAAAAAGGTGAGGCCGAAAAGTTATCAATTTGGTATGGAATTACCCAATTGCACAAAAGTTTTATGGCAAAAATGTCTGAAATTTATGGGGGGGGGGAGTCTGGGCATGTTGTAACACATTTCGAGTGAAATAATATTTTTTTAAATTTAAAAATTGGTATCAGTAAATTATATAAAATTGGAAGATTCTGAATCCCGATCGACCATATCCCAATCAACATATATACATCATTAGTCCAAACGTGATTTTTTTTATTTTACTTTTAATGCAAGATACAATTGTCCCAATTCAATTAACCATTTTAGAAATATTTTACCAATAAAAGTAACTAAATTTATGCAATAAGTACAGAGCTATAAATGATTTTTTATTATTTATCTACATAAAAATGTGCTTAATTTATATTTTTAATTAAAAATTCTAGGACAGGCATAGGCCTAACATTAAAAATATGGGGCTTATGTTGGGACATAAAATTAGCATGGGCCTCAGCATACAGGCTTGGGGGTAGAGGATTATGCTTTAACACATATATAATATTTTTTTAGAAAGTCACACCTATATCTAAATATTTGGGGATGTAAAAATTTAGCTCCTAACAAAAAAAAACTTCAAAAATTTATTGATTTATGTAACCCTTCTATTTACATAGTAATAATGTGATATTACAAAAAAAATTTAATTTATATCAAAACATTGATTCAACATTTAAAAAGTTAATTCTTATTATGTATATATCCTAACTTAAGAAATTTTTAATTTTTATCAGAACATTGATTCAACATTTAAAAATATAATAATTAATTCTTATAATGTATATACCTTAACTTAAGAAATTTTTTTGTAAAAATTACTTTCATTTTTGCTTTGATCCATAGAGGAGAAATTTAGGATTCTAGAATTTTCATTAAAAGATTCTCCCAGGTACATTTTGTTAAACATATCTGATACATTGTTATCCTGTTTATTAATTAACATATAATATTTAGAAATAATATACTATCTATTTTGCAAATTTTAATAATCAAATATAAATTTTTTGGTTGAAATATTATTAAAATATTTTCATATATAAATTTAAAAGCTATATTCCATATATTTTTATTTCTAAGTACATAAGAAAACTTATGATGAAATATTTATTAATATTTTACCTGTGATAAATAGAAATTCAAATGAATATGATAAATTAATACATGATATAAAATATACATTTTTCGATTCATTCAAGGTATTCATTGATTCATTATCACAATGTTGTCTATTAACTATATTGTGATGAAAGCCTAACTCTGGATGTGATTTTGAACGATTTGGCACAAAACGATCACCTATAACACTCTTTGGTGTTTTGTTGCCATTTTTTTGTGGGTACAAGTTGGTTAAATTACTCTGGCTAGGAGTTTTATTAAATATAATATGCTTTTTAGAGCTCTGTGAATTTCGATTAATAAAATCTATTTTATTTGTTGGTGTCTTAAATTGTGCTTTATATTATATTATTAGAAATGATATTTTTGATTATGTTACTTGTTTTTTCGTTCTTTTGTATGAAAGTATTTGGAGTTTTATTCTGAAGATTTATTATATCATTTATATTAATAAATTTTATAGTAGACCCATTCATTTTGTTAATGGCACTTCAAATGGAAAAGCTTTATAGGTTAAATTTAAACATTTTCAAAACCTGCTCCAATTTCAAAATTTAAATATAGCTGTTCCATAAAATTCCTCTAAAAAAAATTCCATAGAGCGAATAATGCACCCACAATAATAAATTATTTCATTACCGTATGTAAATTTTTCCATATTTGAAGCATAAGAGTAATATCTAATAAAATATTTTTATAATAAAATAATATTAGTCACATATAATTTTAATTAATATATTTTGTATAGAAGATGTCTCTCAAGGTTTTTATCTATCTTTAACCAAAAACATCCTTAGCTAACTAAATAATCTCTCAATCGAAGAACCAGGTTTTATAACAAAAAATTATTTTTTTAGGGGGGAGTCTACTATAAAAGCCACGGCTTTTTCTTCATAAAATATTTAGTAATAATATTGTTCGTATTAATTAAAATTACACAAAATTCTATGAATATTTAGATTTTTCTTGTTTTGATTTTTGTGGAAGGATATTATATTACTATTGAAATTATTCTGGGTAGTATTATTATAAACTCCTTGAGAATAATCTATTAAAATATACTCACAGGCTTTTATATCTATGGACCCTATCTAAGGAAAATTCCAGCTACGCCACTGACTTTTATTATAATTCAACATTTCAAATTATTATGGTTTTTAACTATTTTCTAAGTAAGTTAAATATAACTTAAAAAAAGAGGCAATAGATGATATACCTGGTTGTTTGGAATATATGAAAATATAAATAGATAGTTTTATACATTCCTCTAGAGAAAATTTTAAACTTGAGGAATAAATTTAATTTAAATGAGTTGTTATTTTATTCATAATTTAAAGTTGATAATGAATTGGGTTAAATCTATTATAAAATAAGATCAATTACTTTTTATAAAAATACCATTTACTTTAATTATAAATGTCATATAAATTGTATAAATTGAGAATGTTATATTTTATTACAAACATAATCCGTAATATTATGAGTGATTTTTATAAATATATAGTAAATATAAATTTTATGTTTGCATATTTAAAAAAAAACTTATAAATTTTATGGTTGCTTTTTTGAAAAAAGGCAAACTTTATTTTTAGAAAAAAAACAACATAACATTATTGGCTAGATACCCATTTTAGATAGGGAGTTTGGATTTAAAAAATTGGAAAATTATTCAGATGTATCTAAATGTATAATAAGATATAGTGTAACAGATATCATACAGAGTAAGGTTGTTAAATTTTATAAAAACTAACAAAATATGACAGGCTTCTTACCTAATTACCTTGATAACAGAAGATAACCTGAAAAACAGCTTTCAATAAAAATTCCCAAAGAATTTTACATGAATTAATGCTACTTTAACTTGAATATATGTGTAAAATAAAAATATTCTTTAAAGAAGCATGAAAATAATATAATTATAATTATACAGTGAAAACATAATAAAATTAAAGTTAAAAATAAAAATTGAAAAATAATAAGAAAAAAATAAAATTAAAAACAATTTCTTTCCTTTTATAAATTATCAACTAATTATTCAAATTTAATAATAATCCTTTTTAACATCCAATTCGTCTGTAAATGCAATAAAAGTACAATTAACTTATTATTTAAATTTTACCAGAAATTACAATCGTCTGAATTAAAAATAATGAATAATGAAAATAAAGTACAATTAACTTATTATTTTAATTTTACCAAAAATTACAATCGTCTGAATTAAAAATTAATTAATATTCAAAACGTCGTAACTAACATTTTTTTGGGTTACAAGTACATCTGAAACAATTTGAATAAGATATTTCTTGTTTAACTGAATATCACAACACCCTTCCATTGAAGCTAGACCCACCATTCTGCGAATGATCAACTTTCTTTCGATTTCGACTTTACTGATCTTGTATCTCCACCAAATCTATTCTTCTTAATTTTTAATATCTTTTAAGTTCTAACGACAGCTGTCCATTGTCTGGTATTCTTATTTTCTAACGACCGTTCAGCTCATAATATAGTGTTGTTCAACAGGTGTTAAATTTTTATACATCCATTAATAAAATATTAACCAAGGAATTTTTTTAAACATTGATTATTAAAATATAAAATAAAAACCTAAATTTGAAATTATGTTTTAAAATTTCACGGCTATAAAAATAAAATAGTAAACTACTATATTTATTTTTGAACCTTTTTTGGCGATAGTCACAATATTTAGTAAAATTTTAAATAATTAATACAGTAGCGTCACTAGAGGGGGAGTTGCAGGGGCTCAATTTTTTAATAACAGTTTAAAAAAAAAGGTAAGTTAGCCCTAAAAAAAAGAAAAAGAAAGAAAATAATTTAGAATAATGTTAGCTAGAAAAAGGGTAATTTTAGAAATATTAGCTAAAAAAAAGATAATTTTGAAAATATTTTTTGAGCCCCTAGAGATATGGCTAGTGACGCTCCTAAATTACTAGTATTAATATCTCATTATAATTTAGATTATTATCAAATATTTAATAAAAAATAACTTTATATTGTTAATATAATATTCTTTCAAAACCTATAATTTTAATGTTCAGAATTACATTAGACTAAATTTCTATTAAAAATACTATTTGTTGAGGTATTTATGAATTTAAAGTAATTTTTGAATCTTTTGAACGAATAATTTGCAATTTTTGGGGTTTTCCCCAAAAGTTAATACACCACTGATACTACTAGATTGTCGATTAATTTATTAAATGCATTTAAAGCTATCCATATATAGGAGTTATCTGTAGTACTATTTTGTGGTCTGCACGTGTATTAAATGATATTAATGTGCATTTATATAATAATAAATAAAGATAATTTGTCTAAGTTTAAATCATGAAAAAACGACAGCCGATTCCTATGAGCGTCTATATGTGAGGGAGGGGTTGGAGCAGTTTGCAACTACGTTGAGTAGGTAGGCGCCTTTAGGGGTAGGGGGAGGATAAACAATTGGGGGGGGGGGGGGTATATATAATTTTTAGAAATAGGCTAAAATATATTGCTGTATAAATTAATACCTTTAATATTGACCTATTAAAATATAATAATATAGCTAATCATCGACCAAATCTATATATTGCATACAATCTAAAGTAATTTAAGATTTTATTTATTAAACAATACTAATTAAAGTAATTTGAAATTTTTATTTATTTTATTTATTTAAAAAAATATAATTTTTTTAACTGAAAAGTACAATAAATTTTTACGCTTTACAAAATCTATCAAGTAATTTATATCGAATTATTGAGTTAATTTTATAAAACGAGTCCGCGAGGTTAAAGTTAATTTAATATAAAGAATTAAAAAAAATCCATCTTTAAGGTTAATATAGAGTTAATAGATTGCCAAAATAAATATAAAAAAATCATTTAGGTCATCACAACATTCCGCCCTCCTTTGAGAAATAAACTCCGCTCAAGTTCTTCTTGGACGTGAATCTTTTATGCTCAAAATATAATCTTGATATCGAGTGGGTAATGTTCTATTTCGACTAGGCCTCGTTACGTCGGCTGTACAATCTTTTTCTTGGTCAATAACATTTCTCCTTTTGTAAAATGTGACCGTTGGTGAAGTGTTTGGGTCATGAATGGATATTTCGTCAGTGGTAAATCTTTTTTTAAGTTGGTCCAAGTGCCTCCTTAATATACCATTTTTCGTTTGAATTTGAAATAGCATATTACTTTCTTTTTTAACTATAACACCTTCATCCCATTTGTTTACTCCAAAATTTTTATACCAAACTTTTTCTCCAATATCCATAATTCTATTTTTCGGTAAAGCTGTGAGCAAAATGTTATCCGTATCTTTTTTATATTTTATAAATCCCAATTAGTTCTCATGTCATGATTGAACATGAGTATTCTAAGTGGGATGCCAGTCGTTCTGTTTGGCGTGTTTCTGTAGTTGAACAAAAAATTTTCCAAAGCGATATCTATATCCATGTTATTTTGTTCCATGCACTTTTTCATATGTGATTTAAAGGTTCTTACCATCCTTTCAACTTGCCCATTTGACTGTTGATGGTGAGCTGAAGTCTGAAAGTAATGCATATCATGGTCTCTACAAAATTTTTTGAACAGTTGACTTGTAAAGTTTGAGCCATTATCAGAAACTATTTGTGTTGGAATACCAAATAAGCTAATTGTTTTCATCAATATGAATTCCGAGGTTATTGATTTCACCGGAGTAACTATAGGAAACTTACTGTACGCATCTACTATAAGTAACCAGTACTTGTTAAAAAATGGTCTAGCGTAGTCAATGTGTATTCTTTCGAATGGCTTCGTCGTTAAC